ACAGACTGCTATGCCCAGCAAAACTTTTAATCACCATAGAGGGAGAAAACAAGATATCTCATGACAAAAACAAATTTAAACAGTAGCTATCAACAAATCCAGCCCCACAGAAGATACTAGAAGAAAAACTCCAACCTGAGGAGGCCTGAATAACTCCACATCAGCAAAACCAAAAAAAGGGCAACACACACACACACACACACACACACACACACACACACACACACACACTTTACCACGACCACCATCAAAATAATAGGAAGTAACAACCATTGGTCATTAATATTTCTCAACATCAAAGATCTCAATTCCCCAAATAAAAAGACACCAGTTTAACAGAATGGATATGAAAATTGACCCATCATTCTGTTGCATACAAGAAATACACTTAAGCAATAAAGATATACATTACCTCAGACTAAAGGCTGAAAAAGGTTTTCCAAGCAAATGTACCCAAGAAGCAAGCTGAAGTAGCTATTCTAATATCCATTAGAATAGACTTTCAACCAAAATTAAGCTCAAAAGAAATGAGCAAGGACACTTCATACTCATTAAAGGAAAAATCCATGAAGATGATGTCTCAATTCTGAATACCTATGCCCCAAATACAAGGTTAGCCACATTCAGAAAAGAAACATTATTAAAGCTTAAATCACACATTGAACCATACACATTAACAGTGGGAGACTTCAACACCCTGCCTCTCCAATGGACAGGTTATTCAGACAGTGAAACTAACAGATGTCATGAATCAAATGGACCTAACAAATTTCTACAGAACATTGCACCCAAACACAAAAGAATATACTTTCTTCTCAGCACCTCACGGAACCTTCTCCAAAACTGACCATATGCTCAGTCACAAAGGAAGTCTCAACAGATACAGGATGATTGAAATAACACTTTGTATCTTGTCAGATCACTATGGATTAAAGCTGGAACTCAACAACAACAGAAACAACAGAAGGCTTACAAACTCATGGGAACTGAACAACTCCCTACTCAGTGACCACTAGGATCAGGGATGATATACACAGAGAATTTAAGGATTTTTTAGTATTCAATGAAAATGAAGGCACAACATACCCAAACTTATGGGACACAATGAAAGCAGTGCTAAGAGGAAAGTTCATAGCACTAAGCGTCTTCATAAAGAAATGGGAGAGATCTTATACTAGTAACTTAACAGCTTACCTGAAAACTTTAGAACAGAAAGAACCAAACGCGGCAAAGAGGAAATAGATGACAGGAAATAATCAAACTCAGGGCTGAAATCAATAAATTGGAAACAAAAAGAACAATAACAATAATAAAAACAATGAAAAGAATCAATGAAACTAAGAGCTGCTTCTTTGAGAAAATAAACAAGACAGACAAATCCTTAGCCAAACTAACTAAAAGGCAGAGGGAGAATATCCAAATTAATAAAGTCAAAAATGAAAAGGGAGACATAAAAACAGACAATGAAGAAATCCAAAAAAATCATTGTCTTACTTCAAAAGCATGTATTCCACAAAAGCAGAAAATCTAAAGGAAATAGAATAGAAGCAGTCATCAAAAAGTCTCCCATCCAAAAAAAAAAAAAAAAAAATCCCAGGGCCACATGGTTTTAGTAGACATTCAAATAAGAGCTAATACCACTTAAACTATTTCACAAAATAAAAACAGAAGGAACATTGCCAAACTCATTCTATGAAGCTACAGTCACTGAGATAGCTAAACCAAAGACTCAACTAAGAGAATTTCAGACTGATTTCACTCATGAATGTTGATACAAAAATATTTTATACCTGCAAACAAAATCCAAGAACACATCAATTACATCATCTACCATGAACAAGTAGGCTTCATCTGAGGGATGCAGAAATTGTTCAACAACAACAACAAAAAATCATCAATGTACTCTACCATATAAACAAACTCAAAGAGAAAAATCACATGATAATCTCAATTGATACAGAAAAATCCTCTGACAAAATCCAACACCTCTTCATGATGAAAGTCTTGGAGAGATCAGGCATACAAGGCACATACTTAAGCATACTAAAGGCAATATACAGCAAACTGATGACCAATGTTAAATTAATTGTCAAGAAACTCAAAGCAATTCCACTAAAATCAGGGCTAAGACAAGGCTGCCCACTCTGTCCATATTTCTTTAGTCTAGTACTTGAAGTTCTAGCTAGAGCAGCAAGACAACTAAAATAGATCAAAGGCATACAAATCAGGAAGGAAAAAATCAAAGTATTGCTATTTGCAAATGATATCATAGTATATACATAAGTGATCCCAAAAATTCCACCAGAGAACTCCTACAGCTGATAAACACCTTCAGTAACATGGTTGGATACAGGCTTAATTAAAAAAAAATTAGTAGTCCTCCTGTATACAAATGACAAAAGGACTGAGAAAAGAATTCCAGAAACTATATCCTTCATAATAGCCACAGATAATATAAAGTAGCTGTAGCTTGGTGGAAGTCTAACCAAGCAAGTGTAGGACCTGTATGACAAGAACTTCAGGTCTCTGAAGAAAGAAATTGAAGAAGATATTAGAAGTTGGAAAGATATATGCAATGAAGATGTTTAAAAAGGCCATATAAAAGCCTACTATTTTATAAGCATCATATGTATTTATATAAAAAATTTTTAGTTGGAATTATCTTACTTAGAGAATTATGTTCATCATAGAAGCCACAGAATGCCAAATAAAATTCCCAAATGCCAGATATGTAATTCTGGTTGCTGGTCACAGGTATCCCAGGGACCCAAAAACAGTACAAGCTATTGCCATTGCTCTTGGTTGCCAATCAGAATTTGATGGTAAGGTCCTGTTGCTAATGATAACACACATACTCATCAAAGAAAATAGAGAAATTCAGTTGGTAATGACTAGACAGCTGCCTCTCTCCTGGTTACCTCTCAAAATACTGGAAGGTACTCTGAAGGCTGCTGGGGGAAAGATCATTGACCATCATACCCAACTACAAACCCTGTGAACAGAAATATTGACTGGGATGGTAAGATACGCCCTTGGGTTTAGTAGTGAATGCTTTCTGCTTGGACTTAAGACCTTCTTTATAGGAGGAAATATATTCCTCACAATGAAACATGGCTATAACCATGGCTGAAGAGGTTACAGGCCCTGGCATGAATCTACTATTATTTTGCTAAATAAATACAGGATCAAACTGTATTCTACATTCATACCTTTCTACCAACAGATTAGTGACGCTCTCCGATCTTGTCAGAAACCATTACTGGATGGAGATCAATGTAGACACTTACAAGCAGCTGAAAGTTCAGAGAATAAGTGGCATACTCAACCACAAATGGTATATCTATGTCACATCCCTCCTGGAGGCTCAGGGACCATCGTAGAAGAGGGTCTGAAATGTTGTAAATGCCAGAGGTCATGGAGGACAAGGACAAAGCAGTATCTTCTGCTTGAGTGGACTGCTCTATTCTTAAACCTCACAGCAGCTGTGGTTGCCCACATGAGACCCTCACAAGATCAAGCCAGGGAGCATTCTAGCATGCAGTGGAGAGGGGTTCATGAGTTCTAGTCCCTAACTGAGGAGCTGTGAACAGCTAATGGCTTCTGGGGAAAGAAAAGTCAGTTCTCTTTAAGGTACTCTGACTACATTCCTATGGATGGCTCAACACCAAAGGGTATGTGGACTGCACAAATTCTGACAATGGTTATTAAATAAAGGTAAAAGAGGCCAGGAAGTTGGAGTTTAAGGGGGGAGGCATATATCTGGAAGGAGCTAAGGAGAAAAATTGAGGTGTATATAATGAAAATTTTATAAAATTCTCAAAGAATTAATAAAATAGTTAAAATGTAGTAATGATTTGAATTTATTATTAAAAAGGCTTTTATTTAATTTGAGTGATTTGTTGCACGTATCTGACTAATTATGCTCTAAAATGTTTATTGGCATAATGTGATAACCCCAAGGGTACACCTCCAGCCAGGTAGATTGCTTTTCAAGCCCATCCAACAAAGGATCATCTGAGAGCTTGTCATTTGTTACTCATTAATTGTTCAAGTCCCACTGATGAAATTCTCCTGTGATCTAAAGCAGGCCTGAACCAAGCTGGTGGCCTCTTCATTTGCTACCTGGAGAGACAGCAGACCTCACCCAAACTGTAAGGTAGGCTATAAGTCCTGCAGAGGATATCACCTACACACTATGGTCCTGAGTTTTCTCCTCCAGACGGTGGAAATAGTGCCACACAGGCTTCCCAGAGCACAGGAGCTCTTAAAGAGTAAATGAGATGCTGCATCAAAAACCAACATGAGGAAGAGTTGGAAAACATTTTGCAAGAGCAAGTATGCACTATGTTTTTCTGTGAAGTGCAATTTCTTTCCCATCAATTCTACCCCTTTTATGATGAAAAGTTGTTTTATTTTCTGGAAGAGAAGAAAATAATCTGCTCCATTTTGCACATTCAGAAATTCATCTACCATCCATCCATCCATCCATCCATCCATCCATCCATCCATCCATCCATCCATCCTTCCATCCACCACAGCTGTCCACAAGGCAGATCCCTCTGCTCAGGGTATCCACATTTGAGCAGCAGAGACGTGCATATACTCATACAACAGCGAGATTGTTTAATCAGTGATGAATGCCATTAAAACAAAGAGGGAAAGAAAGTAAAGGTTGTCCTGAAGGAGGCATGATAATTGGTATTTTAGAAGTCTGGGTCATGAAAGATCCATTTTAACTGTTCAGAATAATTAAGCACATACTTAAAAAAACTATGGCAAAACAGGATGGCTGACATTAAAAAAATGTGGTTATGACTCTTTTCTTCTTTTTTTTTTCTTTTTTCTCCCCCTTCTTTTCTCTTCCTGATCCACCTCTTCCTGCCCCTTCTTCTCCAATTTTATCACATTTATTTGAGGTACGACACAATCCTAATTTGATATGTATTACTGTGAATCTGAGACTCAAAAGGACAAAATTCCAAATTAATCAGTGTGCTTACCCATTTCATTTCTGGTGCTGGCCACACCCACGCCATACTTTTCTAGAGTATCCTTAACGAACCTCATGGACTCATCATATTTGACTGCAAACCCCAGGTAGTTGTAGGAGGCTATGTTGAGGACATCTTTGATAACTCTTCCTGTATGCCTGCAGGGAGATGCGGAAGTGAATGCGCATGTCTGTCTCCTTCAGTACTCTACTGCCTCAAAGGCTTCGGTCTGGGCCAAGCCTCACACTGTCCTTTCCACTTTTGTTCTTGGTTTAAAGGGTTCTTTTTCATTAGAGGGATGCAACCTGATAGTGAAGCCCAACATTAGTAAAAGGCTTTTGTCCCCAGGGTGTTACTAGGCACTGATTTTTCCTGGATGATTGACTTCATGACACTCAAGTTCTGGGTGAAAGTGCTATAAAACCTATGAAGGAAAAAAAAAAGCCACAGTTGCCACTGATTCCAACACTGAGAAAGCAGGGTGGAATGGTTTGACTAAGAATTTGATAAAGGCTTTTCAGGCGGCTCTGTGTGTTGTACGTCTACTGAGTACAGAGGTCCAGCTTAATTATAACGGTAAAATGTGAAGACACCAGGTTGACAGCGTAATTGCCTTTCTTCTACCATGGAATGAGAAATTGCAGAGGGCTGGGTAGCAGAAGATCAGCCTCATCTACACCTTTTTTCCGATCTGTAACCTGTGTCCATGCTAGAATTTCCCTGAAAGAGCCTTTACCCATCAAGCCCTTCCAGCTGGCTGCTTCACCTGAATGTCCAGTTATAGTCATCAGACACTTTCTCCATTACATCAATGTAGACCTCTGGGGAGCTGCAGGTGGTATGATTCCAGCTGTCTCTGATTCTCATGTAAAGGTTCCTCTTATAAAAGTTCTCAAAGTCCTGATACAATGGCACAAAATCCTGTTTTGATAGAAGTAGAGGTAGAAGGTTAGTTTTGGTCTTTACTGTTTTTTTTTTTTTTTCTCTTCAAGATCTTATTTGCTATTGAAGTTTCAGAGAAGCGGAAGAGCCTGGTTAATCAACAAAGAGGTCTTTTCTGAACAAGGACAGATGGGTGGTGAAACCTCATGGAGCTCACAAAACAGAGTAATTTCAGGACTAAACTTGACAATTTAATGAGATTCGGCCAAAAGAAAAGGCAGAATGAAATGGCGGGCAAAGTATCTCTGTGGTAGACTTCATATAGGAGGTCCTAGGTTCAATCCCCAGCCAGTCAAGTCAAAAAGGATAACAAAGGTGCTAGCTCAATTCAAGAGGAAGTGGCAGAGACAAGGAGGTCTTTTTTTTTTTTTTTCTATACATAAGGAGTTAATTCAGCTATAGGATTGGAATGTATTGATGCTCAAGCAATTCGGTAGGAAAAAATCGTTGAGTTATTAGTATTGATTTTTTGAATCTAAATTTACTCCTGCATTGTGGTTTCAGGAATGGGTGGGTGATGCAAACTGTGGTAGGAGCCCTCACTAATCATGAGAAACTTGGTAGTGATTTAAGGAAATGATTGGAAAACTGCTGTTGGCAGGTGGCTCGCTGTGTCGTGCTGAGGGCCACGAACTGAGCTGACAAGTTTATGGAGAGACTAGGTCTCTCTTGTTGCAGTGGTAACAGCTTCTGTTCCTGTACAAAAGGTCACTGTGAATGTGAAGATCAGCAGTGATTTGAGGTTCACAGGAGAGAGTCTATGATTTTTATCATTTGACTTGTAATAGTTGACGTTAGGCAGAAAAATGTTATTGGAGTTCAAGAATCCAATACAGTTTCAAGCTGTCTTGTTAACATTTGGTGTGTGCTGTGTGTACAAAAATATCTAGGCTTTTGGCTTTCTTTTCCACCAGGATCTTAATTTAGCTGCGGCTGGTCTTGTGCTAGTAGTCTTTGTGCTTCTACCTCCTGAATGCTGGGATTGCAAATGTCTACCGTTATCTGGGGCTCTCCATAGCTTTCACTAAATATGAGAGAACAGAATGTCCATGGGTCCTCCTTGCAATAGAAATATTTTAACTTATAGAGAAGATGAAACAAATGAAAGAAATGTGGATGTGATTTAGGTGAGACAGAGAGCATTTCTCAGGGAACAGGGGCAAAGATTTCTAAGTTGGGCTTGGTCAGAGTGTCCTAGAGACATCAGAATATACACTACTGCCATTACTCTTGAATACCTACCAGAACCTGTGGTAATTAAAGATGCGTTGCTGAGGACAACATATACATTGGCCACAGAACATGGAGAAATCAAGTGAGCACTGACCATGAACTCTCTTGAGGAACAACAAGGGCTGTCTATTCCTCATAGTACTAGAAGGTCAGATGGCTGCTGCTGGGGGGGTAATCTACAGTCTTACCTAACTCTGAACCATGAGAAGTGCAGTAAAGCTACTCATGGAAAGCAGGATGTTTCCATGTGTTTAATGGCAGAATGAATATTATCGGGGTAAGACTTCTTTCTGGCTGGTTTTAAGGCCCCACCCATATTGGGTACTGCAGACATGAGCAGGAACCCATGATGGGGACCTCACAGGCTCAAGCAATGGACCTGTTACTACTGTTTTGCTAAATGGAGGTAGTATCAAACTGATCTCTAAATTTGTATCTCTGTAACCATTGAAGCAGATCTCAGACCTCAGCAGAAAAGTTTCAGTCGGAGCAGAGAGAAAGGTGACTGTAGAGTGCTCAGCCGTAAGTGCGACATCTATATTATACCCTACCCCCAAGGCTCAGGGACCATCATGGAAGAGAATGAAAAAGGTTATAAGAATCAGGTGTGGGAAGGACTGGAGCAATAAGGTATCCTCTAAGACAGGACAGGACCAGTACACTGATGAACTCACAGCAGCCATGGTTGCCTGTCTAAGACCTGCACATTATCAAGCTTGTCAGAGTCCCAGTGAGGAGTGAGAGGGGTTAATAAGTCCACTCCAAACTCAGTGACTATAGACAACCGGTGGCTCTGGGAGGGGTGAGTCAGTTTTCGTTACGCATGTGGCTCCTGGTAGACAGACCAAGTACCTGTGGACGCGCTGAATAGCAGAGAATCAGCTTTCTCATTGTCAGCGTCTTTGCTCTTCCTCATAGTGTGGAGCTGCTTCTCTGAGAAAGGCTCATGGGAAGGCCATTGTGGAACATCTCTTTGTGCTACTGATTTGCCTACTCAGTCCTTGAGTTGGTTGACTCTAGAGGAAAATTCAGAAAATATGCCACTTTCGATGGGAAGTGGCTATGCCCTAGCCACACCCCTTTCTGTTATTTCCCACTGCGGTGCTTAATGACAGTGAGAGGGTGTCTCAGTAGGAAATTATGATTTCAGGTAAGAAAGAATGCTCATAAACACATGCGGAAGGGACTTGTTGCATGTGAATTTCCCACTCTACGGGTTATGTTTGACAACTTCAGATCACTCCATTTTTCTAATAGCTGTGATATAGGTTTTGTTATTAAAATCTATGAGTTTATTTGATGATCTATGATCTCATAACATTTCAGACTGTTTCCTGCCCATGAAGGTTGAGTATTCCAAAGATAGAACTATTATGCTAGGACTTATTGTTGTCTATCTGTAGATTTGATTTGTCACTCGACTTACTTATTTTTGTATTTCTGAAACAAAGAGCTCACTGTAAGAAAGACAATAAGGACCCAGTGATTTGGGGATATGGTGCAAGAAAGAGAGAATTCCACCTAAAACCATAGATATAAAATAGTATTGAATCTTCTGCAGTATGGCAATTTTTTTATTTTCTTTAAACTTATACAATAAGTTAAAAATGATAATTCCTAAGTGTCAAAGATACAGCCTCAGTAGGAAAAAAATTCCTTAACAGGCAACCAATGGGATTCTTTTAAAACCCAAGTTAGGCTGCATGCCATCTTTGTCCAAGTCACTAACTAAAAAACAGACTTGTGCAGAACAGACCTGTGCAAGCTCAAGACAGGCCAAATTCCAGCATAGAGAGAAGTGGATATGAAATCCCACTGACAGCTGGGAAACTCTTGGTAATTGTAGCTCTGGGAGAAGAAGTCAGTTTTCTTTTAGAGTAAGCTTCTGGTTAAGTTGACCACACACCAGTTCAAGACCACACATCCAAGAAGAATATTTGTACATCACAGATAACACTTAAAGGGTTAAATAAAAAAAAGGGGTGGGTGGGTGGGAGTGGGGGACACAAAGTTGGATATGTAGAGAAGAGGATTGAAATGGAAAGAGTTGGATGGTATGAATATGATCAAAATGTGTATGACTTTTTCAAAGAACTAGTTAATACACATACATGATAGATCTCTATCTTTCCATTTATTTTCTAGCTCAGAGCCGAAATAAGGCAATATAGACATTTTTCAAAATAGCTAGGTAAATGTTTCTAAACAGAGTGACTTAATCATCACTATGTGTGTCAGTCAGTATTAAAGGCAAATCCAGTGTGTGAAGGCCAGGGATGCTGTTTGAATTCCCTCAATGCACAGGTCTCTTCAAACAGAGCAGCCATCCAGTGAGACACACCAGTAGTGCAGCTGTTGAGAAATCCTGACCTGGATGAAATAAAAATGTCACATTTCACTCAGATACATGTTCTTATTTTGGAATAGAGCACGCATGATACTGAATCTAGAAGAGCAGAGAAAAGTACCTCTTGGTGTTCTTGCTTTCCTTGGTGTCTTTCACATTGGTTCACTCATCATTACGATGATCTTTTATCATATATTTTATAGAAATATTGTCTTTGTTTTTAATTGCTGAGTAGTATTCCACTGTGTAAATGCACCACAATTTCTGTATCCATTCCTCCATTGATGGACATCTGAGTTGTTTCCAGATTCGGGCTATTATGAATAAAGCTGCTATGAACATGGTTGAGCAAATGTCCTTCTTATGTATTTGAGCATATTTTGGATATATGCCTAGGAATGGTATAGCTGGATCTTGAGGTAACACTATTCCTAATTGTCTGAGAAAGTGCTAGATTGATTTCCAAAGTGGTTGTACAAGTTTACATCTCCACCAGCAATGGAGGAGGGTTCCCCTTTCTCCACATCCTCTCTAGTATGTATGAAGTTTGCAGGCAAATGGTGGGAACTAGAAAAGATCATCCTGAGTGAGGTATCCCAGAAGCAGAAAGCCACACATGGTATATACGCACTTATAAGTGGATATTAGACATACAATATAGGATAAACATACTAAAATCTACACAACTAACGAAGCCAAGCAAGAAGGAAGAACCTGAGTAAGATGATCAATCCTCACTCAGAAAGGCAAACAGGATGGACATTGGAAGAGGGAGAAAAGAGGAAACAGGACAGGACCACAGAGGGCCTCTGAAAGACTCTACCTAGCAGGGTATCAAAGCAGATGCTGAGACTCATAGCCAAACTTTGGGCAGAGTACAGGGGATATTATGAAAGAAAGGGGAGAGAGAAAGACTTGGAGGGGACAGGAGCTCCACAACGAAAGCAACAGAATCAAGAAATCTGGACCCAGGGGTCATTTCTGAGACTGATACTTCAACCAAGGACCATGCATGGAGATAACCTAGAACCCCTGCACAGATGTAGTCCATGACAGGTCAATCTCCAAGTGGGTTCCCTAGTAATAGGAACAGGGACTGTCTCTGGCAGGAACTCAGTGGCTGGCAGTTTGATCACCAACCCCTAAGGGGAGAACAGCCTTACCAGGCCACAGAGGAAGACAATGCAGTCAGTCCTGATGATACCTGATAGGCTAGGGTCAGATGGAAGGGGAGGGGGACCTCCCCTATCAGTGGACTAGGGGAGAGACAAGGGAGGAGATGAAGAAGAAAGGATGGGATTGGGAGGGGACAAGGTAGGGACTTCAGCTGGGATACAAAGGGAATAATCTGTGATTAATAAAAAAATAAATTAATTAAAAAAGAAAAAAGAAATACTGTCTAAATAAATTATGATAATGAGCAAGAAAGCTTAAATTCTGTATCTGGCAATTAATAGTATTCCAATAAATGCTTGTGAAAAAACAAGGCCACAATTACATCAGAGACAGGACTTAGTGAGGAGAGATTAATGGAATTTAAGATGAGTAGTTCCTAAATATATCCTTCTTTCTAGGTTCTGTGCCTTATTCATTATTTTTGAGAAGGGTAGACATTGACCAGATCGAGAAAGGCAAACGTACGTACTTTTTGTTCTTCTCTCTCTACAGCGGCGTTGCATTTTTCTATTCCCCAGTGCCTCAAAAGGTCCCTGATGTACCCGAACAGGGTTCCAATCACAATACCCACGTGAGTGAGAACGAGGATGTGAGCTGGAGGTCGCGGGTAGGACTCAAAGATAGGCTTATCCCAATAAGGTGGCTTCTTATTTTGCTGCAAACACAAAGAAAATACAAGTTTAGCAATTTCTCATTAAAAATATATTATGATACCTATATTTTTAAACGTTTAACTTTTACGTTTGACTTTTAAAACTTGAAGAGCACATTTGAAAGTATTAAAGCTTCTTGAAATATATTGAAATTTGATCATTGAGAAGTAAAACATATAAATTTACCTTATAACCTCTAGTGAAATAATTGATACAAAAATTCCAACACACAGGCTATTTGGTGAAAAGTTAGTGAGGAACGGATGCTCTTAAGTTCCAAAATGGAGCTCCATGAATCCCTTAATTCTGAACTTGGGCTCATTCCCTTACCATCATCTATGTACATGGCAGGAGCGACCAGTTCTCTGCACTGCTGCTTCAGGTTGGAAGAGAAAAATGCTTTGTACTTGGGATGATCAAACTAAGTTTAACTGTGTCTGTGAAGCCAACAAGCAAGCATCTTCCTCTTTCAGGAATTAATGTCTCAGTGGAGAGACTTTCAGCATCAAATTGTTCCATTCTGGTTCCATTGACTTGCTCACACTAGCTTCATCAATACCGGATTAATGAATAAGATAGCTCAGATAGTTTCATTATTGTATTATTTCACTGGAAATATACAAATGCTTTCTTAACAGATGTAATATTCCTTTGTTAAACTGAAGTCAGTCAAACGTCTTAGGAAGGACTTTTCTTTTTTCTTTTAAGATGAGAAGGGAGGGGCATACCTCCTCTGTGCTTAGCATGCACAGGCCCTGGGACTGACCCTCAGTGGGCATGTATACACA